TTAACTTGATATTTTGGACTAAATACAGTTACATAGATATCTTTATTATAAAAACATGCTCTGGCCCTGGCTGGTATGGCTCAGTTGGTTGGAGCATCATCCCATGAACTGAAGGGTTGTGGGTTCAGTTCCCAGCCATGACACATACCCAGGCTGTGAGTTTGATGCCTGGTTGGGGTACATACAAGAGGCAACCAATTGATGTTTCTCTCTTACATTGGTGTTTCTCTCCCCATCTCCCTTCTTCTCTGCCTAAAATAAATGAAAAACATCCTTGGGTGAGGATTAAAAAACACAACATCTCAAAAACCCCAACATACTCTGAAAGAGTGGTAATGAAGGAGTATCTGAGTATAAAAAGCATCAAGTTTAGCTAAAGTATAATAAAAGTAAGTTGTTTTTAACTTGGATACTCTTTATTTTTTAATTATTTAAAAAATATTTTTAATTGTTTTTAGATAGGAGAGGAGAGGGAGAAAGAGATATTAACATTGATGAGAGAGAATCATTGATTGGCTGCCTCCTGCACTCCCCGTACTGGGGATCAAGCCCGTAACCTGGGTGTGCCCAGACCTGGAATCAAACCAGTGACCTCTCCATGGTGCATGGGATGACGCTCAGCCACTGAGCCACGCTGGCCGGGCTTGGATACTCTTTCAAAGGGGAGTTGGATTCTTAGGCTGGCCTCTGAAAACCTTTAAACCTAGACTACAGCCTAAGTGTGCTACCTATGTGTTTAGAATCTATATTCCAATTCATATTTTAAAAATCTACATTGTACTTCTTATGTAATATAATCTGAGGGGTGGAAACATTCTGAGGCTTTTGGAGGATGGAGGCAGCACTGGCACTTAGAAGGGAGATCCAGGAAAGGGTGTGTGTGACATGACATATGACATATGACCTGTAACATATACGTGTGTGATGTATAACCTGTAACTCATACATTCACATGTGTGTATGAGTGTGAGATGTATAAGTCATACATATCTGTGTGTGGGTGTGTGTGAGATGTATAACTCGTACATACAAGTGTATGTATGTATGTGTAAGAGAGATGTATAACTCATACGTGCATGTGTGTGTGAGGTGTATAACTCATATATACCTGTCTGTGGGTATGTGTGAGATATATATAACCTATAGTTATGTTAAATGCTCTTTGAAAATGGGTGGTTCATACTGTGGCCTTCAAAGTACTTGTTTTATTTTACGAAATTGAAGCTTAGACTACAGCAGTTGTGGAATGATATCTAGGAAGGAAAAACATGTTTGGAATAATATGTTGAGAGACGTATTTGAGGACTACTCAACGTGGATGATCTTTTAATACAGTGTAAATTGTAGTATGTGAGAAATGAAGATGGAGATACTCTGGAATATATCAACAGAAGGGTAGATGATAGAAATAGAGAATTATTTCGGGTTGATGTGAATATGAGAATCGACTTGGCCTTTATGTTTTTTTGAAAAAGTCTTATATTTGGTTGGGTCTTTGGTTTCTTTTAGAGGTACTTGTAAGAGGCCGGGGTTGAGACCCTGCAGTAGTCCATATTTAATATCAGAAACAGCAAGAGTACACAGCAGGAGGATTTGAATTGTGGGTGAATATTTAATAATAGGCCAAGGGAGAGAAGGTTAAAATTAAATAATTTGCACTGTATAAGTATCAGTTTTCATATCTGAAGTTTCCCTGAAATGTATTTGATGTATTTTGAGATGTACAGATAATCTGTGTATTTATTTCATGCTTTCGATTTTGAGAAATCTCGTGGTTAAGCTAACATCTTTGACATGGGTGCAAATTAACTGAATTTTAAGTAGTTCTGGGAGAGTTTATGGCAGTGATGAAATTGATATTACAAAACAATTTTAGTCACTGATAAGATGAACTTGCTGCACTGTTATCTATAGCATTAAAATGTAGACATTCTAATCATTTTCCCATTTTAAGTTTCTGCTTTAATTACTCCAGTTTTGGTTGTGTGTTATGTAAAGTGAAATAAGCAGACCTTCCCTCTGCCCTGGCTAATCCGGACTGAATGTGAAGACAGCGCTGCCACAAGGCCCGTATTGGAAATTTAGACTTAAATCAGACTTGCTCAGCCTCTGTAGGCTGTTCATTCGCTCTGCGGATTCTGGGCTCACCAGCTCAGCCTTGATTTTTCACACTTCCCTAGAAAGTTTTCTTTTATCGTTTGCAACAAAGCGTGGAAAATAATTACATTTTGCTTTTTAAGGCATAAATTCTACTTTAAATCATTCTGGGGAAAACTTAATTCTTAGTCCTACTTTATAGTTTTATTTCAATATGTCTATGAACATATGTTTGTATGTTGGATAGTGAATTCGGCACATGTGTAACATCAGTATATTGTTTGAACAATTTCTGTCATTGTTATGTACAGTTTTTCTTGACTGGTAAAAGTAACACAGTTCAATATCCATGAAATTGTGAATTTTGAGCAGAACTGTTTGGCCTACACATATTTTTACTCAGTTTAGATTTCAGATCGGTTTCTGGCAGATTCCCACAGAGCCCTCAGGACTGAGCTCAGGTGTTTCCTGGAGGGAGGCTTTGTCAACACCCGCGGCAGACCCTTTGAGATGCTCCCAGCCAAGGCCGGTGTCCAGTTAGGACGTCCCTGCCCGGCCTGTGGTCGTTCAGCCCTGTCCTTCAGTGAGTTGCTCGCTTCTCCGAGATAGCCACTGACACTCATTTTCCTGCCTCCAGTACCTGGCACAGTGTACATGGTAGATATTCAGTTAATGTGTGGCGAATGGATTGATCGTCATTCTAATGAGCACAAGGGTAACCCTAAGAAGGGAGAGGGGCAAAGACCCATGCTGCCTTGGGTTGGGTGTCTGTGGAGGCAGGCCTGGCAGTTCCTTTAGCTTCTTCAACTTGGGTTTGGGGTGTACAGTCCTGGCTCCCCTCTCCCACCTCCCATTCGCGCCCCAGTTCCTAGACTTTCATTTTCTGCCCTCGCCTCTGTGATGAGACTCCCTTGCCAAAGTCAGCAGTGACCTCCTGGTCACCAGTACTGCGCCAGCTTTAGCCTCACCCGTTGGGCACCTGGTCTGCATCTGGCTCGCCTGTTCTGTTGCTCCGCATAACTCCCTTTTCTTGCACAACAGCATGCTCTCTAGAACATCGAACTGCATTTTCTGATGATTTTTTCAGTCTCTTTGTGGCTTCTTTTTTCCCTTAAATGGTAATATTTTCTAGAATTTTATCCTCCACCTATTTTTCTGTTTTCATATATTCTTCCTGGATAAAATTATTGTTTTGCATGCTTCCTGTTGATTAATTCATCCAGTATTTATTGAGCATTTATTATGTGCCAAGTGCACTGTTTGACTTACGTCCCGGAGGTATAATAGTAGAGCAGAAAGGATCGCTGCCCTCCAGGGGCACATGTCCTCTGTGCGATGATTTCCCTAGTCATTCTAGGTCAGACCTGACCGCCCAAACGGAACTCATTGTGTCTCTTCTTTCTGTACATTTTCACCTGGATTTCCTGTAGGAGCGTCAGATTTAATATAGAGTGCTGAAGGCTCTCACTTCCCCGGAGAGCCTTACCCCTGCTTACCCCTGCGTGCTCTGCCTCAGATGGTGTCTTATCACCAGTGAAGCCATCTTGATCCTGTCTTCCACCACTCAGTCTCCAAATTGTGCTGCATTTCTGTTCTGTGACTTGAATCCGGGCTGGTTTCTTCCACCACTGCTACCAGTTCAGGACCTCAGCTCACCCGCCTGCTGCGGCCACCCGCCCTGGCTCCAGCCAGCTGCCCCAGAGATCAGCCTTCTGAGAGGCAGATCTGACTGTAGCTCTCTGTTTATCCCTGAGGTACAATCTGAAGCCTTTCAAATGACATATAAGGCTCACCCTTGTATGTGCTGGCTTCTGCCTTCTTCAGCTTCTTCTCTGCAAATTCCTGCTTCATTTGGATATAAACTGCTTGTGTCCCTCATAAACGCCAGACAGTGCCTCTCCCCTGAGCCTGTGCGTTATGCTGCTGCTGCTTTGTGGTATTCTGCGCCCTGCCCCTCCCTACCTTGAACCTGGATTTTTCTTACTTGTGCCGCGCATCCTGAAACCTTCTTGAGAGTTTCCATGAACTCAGTGTGAACATAGAGTCTGGCACACAGTAGGGAGCAGTCTATGGTTTTGGAAGGAAGGACCAGCGACCTGTTAGATGAATGCTGCAGGGCTCTGTACCATTGCAGGGAGGGACTCCCCCACCGTGCTTTGCTTCTTTGAAGCACCCAGGGCATGAAAGCCCAGGCTGAGGCTCGAGTTCTGGCTCTCCCGAGTGGCCTTGGCCCTGAGGCCCGTGGCTGACTCACTAAGCCAAAAATAAAACTCAAAGTCTAGTTTTGAACTGGTTATGTTTGGTAAGATGGTTACTTACATAGGAAGATGGCTTGTGACTCATAGTCTGGGTGCTTGTTCATGCGCACTGGTGATCTGTGAAAAATTTTACCCTGGACATTTGGTAGTATTTAAAATCTATCCTTTCACTTTCTAATGAGCACTCAGATGCATTAAAGTTTGATAAGGACTTGCAGACTCAGGTCTAAAATAAAGTAGTTCTAAGAATACTTTGAAGTCAGAAGGTGTCCCTAACCACTCAGTATACTTTGCCTTTATTACTAGTAAGCAAAAGGAGCTGGGTGAGATTTACTGTCTTGCTCATTTCTATATGCATAATAGAATTTCAGATGCAAACGTTTTCTCTCTGCTTGGGATGCATAATCTTTCCTTATGTTGTTTCCTCCCGATTCCTCTTAATTGTTAAAAGTACAAAAATAAAATATCTTGTATTCATGTAGGTATTTTTCTTAATGTTTTTCTGGGTTTTCTTTCGTCAGATCATTGTTTTTAACATTTTTCTAAATGATAGTTGTGGTTTTTAATGTATGTGTCAGCATAACAAACTTTCTTCCTTTGTAATAAATAATTAACAAGCTTACTTCTTCATTTATCCCTTCACAGGGCAGCCCGATGGATCCCATGGTGATGAAGAGACCTCAGTTGTATGGGATGGGCAGTAACCCTCATTCTCAGCCTCAGCAGAGCAGCCCTTACCCTGGAGGTTCGTACGGCCCCCCAGGCCCACAGCGGTATCCTATCGGCATCCAGGGTCGGACCCCAGGGGCCATGGGAGGAATGCAGTACCCACAGCAGCAGGTTTGTGCCACTTGTTACTCCCCACCACCTCCTCTCATCAGTGATCGTCTGTCTTGTCTTTTACTGTCTACCTAAGATTGGTATTGAGACAGTTAGGGGCATACCACTGATTTTCTGCTCTCTTTTAATTTTCATAGTATTTTCAGTATGATCACAGGTACACTTTTCCCCCCTTTCTTTTAAAGAAGGAAAAGTGAGCTTCTTAGAACAAAGTGGACAAAAAACCTGGTTGGGAGAAGGCCAGCCAGTGTTACCAGCCATATTTGAAAGATGTACCCTGTCATCATTTTGCAGCAAATTATATAGACCTTGGTCCCAAAGTGAGCTTGGCTTTCCAACATTTCTGGTTTTGACTGTGTCAAATTGTGAGCTGTGAATAGATTTCCTAAGGCGAAGTTTTAAGTTATTTAAAGGTCTTTCTCATAAAGACAGCATCAACTTAAAAATTTTTTTTGCTTCCCAGAAAGTTATTTTGCTTTTATTTCTTAACATATTATCTTCTGTACCTTTTGAAACCGGTTTCTGTATTTCACGTAAGAGGATTTGATGTGCATCTGTTTTCTTAGATTTTCTGTTTTTACTTCAAACAAACAAAAAAGACTCTTCCTGTTCTCAAGACCCAGCATTTGTCTCTAGAATCAAACAGTTATAGTTACCTTAAACGACCATCTGCCTTCTCGCAGTACTACACCCACAGTCTCTGGGGCACAGGCGAGTATCTCCTTGTTATGTTGGCCTGAGGAAGCATGAAATTTGGAAAGGGTAAATTAGGTTCTGAATTGTCAGGGTAGTTAGTTAACTAGGAACACCAGAGAGGCTTATTTATAAACTCACCCCATGCCTTTAACCCTGAGGGTGCTTTGGGCTGGTGCCCTGGAACGTGGACTGACTCCACAGAGGTGTCACCACAACCCACTCCAGGGGCTCACTGCACTTCTCTCGGGACAGTCATCCTCATGTTTGACCAAAAATCCATTGTGGAGATAAAAACACTGGCTAGCACTTTTGTTCTCTCCAAAGTGGATCGGAGGATGGTCCCTCATACTTTAAATGCCACGTAACTGTGAACTGAAATTTCATGGATAAGTTGCAGCTGAGCCTGTTCTTTTAGAAACGAACATTGTCTTTCTTCTTTTCCTTTGCTCCTCCATTGGTGATGTTTTTATTTTCAGGTGGTTGTAGGGAAAGACAGAAGTCGCTCAGCCTTAGAGTCCTTGCTCTTGGTTCCTTACACAGCCTTTGCTCCTGTCGGAAGTTCTCGCCCCGGTTATTGGAGATCAGCCCCCCAGAAGTCTAGCAGTCAGTTGCATATTTAATTGTACTCTTAATTTTTTCCAACATTACTCCTTTCTTCCAGCAGTATTTTACTATCCAGAGTAAAAATCTTTCATTGAGACTGCTAATTGTGAGAGGGAGGTACTTTGTCAAGGGTTGCAAAGTAAGGTGAGAATTGTTTTCTCTCCCTGTTCCTTTGATCCAGTTTTAAAGCTGATTGGCCCTTAGTTGAGGGGAGGAAGGCCTGGCTGATGAAGCCCTAACTCTGCCCTGGCGCGTTTGTCTGGAGGCTGATAGTTCTGTGTGATGCTCTGGCCACAGGAAGAGAGTAGGGGCGGAAAGATAGTAAGAAGTAGCAGGACCTTAAAAAATCTTAAAAGAAAAAAAAGAATGTAACTGGATGGACCAGTGGAGAGGAGTGGATGCTAGTCACTCCTGTTTCTGCACCTTCCTCTCCACTGTTTTCCTGATGTGAAATTGGAAAGGCATTTCAAAAGGTGCTTTCCCTGGCAAGCTGCTGGGTGCTCCTTGATCTCTTTCTCTGAGTGAGTTCGTCTTCCTAGAAGCTTTTGACATGGGCTTAGTTGTAGTACCAAAGTGGGACTCTCACAGTTGGAGAAGGTGTGTGAAGAATGATTACTTAGGAATGTTGTTATTATTTTCTCCCCCACATGTGTAAGGCTAAAAGTAGAGTACGTATTTCAGATACATAGAGTAACCTCAGAGTTCTTAGCGTTTTGGTTTATTTAGTCCCTGAGACTCTTAACGTATTTATGAAATCCAGCAAGCAGACAACTTGATGAAGATTACTTACCAAGTATTTCAGCAAATTTTTAATTAAGGTTTTAGATTAGGTATTTTACTGCTAACCAAAAGAAATGCCTGATTGTTAACACAGATCCTTCTGATAATGAAAGGGAAGTAGTGTATTTGGTAAGAAACCGATGCTCTGGCTGAAAAATGTTAAACTCTCTTATTGGGTTCATCATAAGCAAAGGTTCTAAACTTTACTGCTTTTCACCTTTTCGTTAGCTATGATACAGCCTTGAAATATACTATTTTGTTTTGAAATCTAAAAAGCTAAACATAGCTGTAAGTGCATTTTTGAACGTGTGTGACATTTTAAAGGGGACACAGCTTTTATCATACATGGCAACTTATGTGATCAGTTAGGTGTAGGCTTTGGGGAAAAAAGGGAAGTTTTTGGTTAAAGGTTATTAGATCAGATTTATTTTGTTAGCTTTAGTCTCTGTTCTTGGTGAGGAATTTTCAGTGAGTTGCTTTGTTTGTGAATTTTGGGTAATTATAAACTTGCCCACGAAATCCTGGCACAGTGATTGGCTGGCAGTCCTGTTTGTCTTCTCCTAGTATTGATGTAATTGTCTGAGCCTTGTTGTAGCCATGGTTGCTAATGTTCTTCAGGAAAAAAGTTGAAAGATAATGATGACATTGAGTTTTTATTGAGTGGACATCACCACCTAGCCATGACTTTGCTTTGGACGGCCTCCAAAGCTTTCTGTGTTTGGTTTGTGAACCTCTAATGAGCTGAATCCATTTCATTTAATATTGCTCATGTATTTCTGCAAAGGATTAAAATGCAGGAATTCAAGTTTGTAAATTGAGTGGCCCACTTACCAGCTGAGTGGTAAGTTGTCTTTGGCTCGGGGGTCACAGTTTGATTCCTGGCAGGTACTCCACTCTTGTGACGGGAATTTTAAATGAGGATTCAGTTAGAAAGAACTGCACAGCTTATAGGAAATTTAACATGGGTAGTGTCACTTACTTGCTTTTTGTCTCTGAGTCTGGAGGAGCTGCTGGACACTCACTGTTGGGGTTTAGTATTAACCTGGCGATTCTTGATTTGTATGGTGATAATTTTGAAATAAACTCATGACTGATTCTTTGAAGCATGATGTGATAATAGTACATCATTTTGGTGTTTATTAACTGGAACTAGATTTGTGGTCTTTCACTTGCTGATTCTCCCATATCATCAGGCAAATACATGGCTAAACAGATTTGTTTTGCATGGTGCCCTAAAAACTAGCCTACTTGGGTTTTCATTGAGCTGAGAGGGTAAATGAATTTTCTATGCCTCTGTGGAGAATGTTCTGCCTTTAGGCTCCTGGAATTCAAACCTGGGGATGGTTAACAGAGTACACTGGTTGATTTCATCTAATACAGAACTGCACAGGGGATGTCTCTTTTAAGGGTACTAGATTCGGACTCTTCCTGAGTTTTTCTGTTATTTTTAAAAACTTCGCAAGATATCCCTTCCTGGATCAGGGACATAGGTGAACAAATGTTTTGTTTCATTTTTCTTGTCCTTTGTGCTGTAAACGTAAGCATAGGCCTGTGCAGCTTGCTTTAAAAAAGGTTTTTCATATAAACGAAATAGCACCCAGGAGAAATAGGCTACAGAAACCAAGGTATATTTATTTGTGTCAGTCAGATTATGTAGTCTGAGATTTTTCTTGAGTTATCAAGGGTTATTGGGTCAATATTTGAACTCTCTTTACCTTGATGCAGATGTTTGTGTAATCTGATGCCTGTTTGCATTACACAGTGAGGGAGAGGGAAGGAGGGCAAGGGAAAGATTTGAGTTCATGAGCGCTTTTATTATGGGAAATGATGACCTTTTTAGTTTTTAAAAACATCTGTATTGTGAAGACCTTGACAACTACAAGAACATGGAATATAATCGTTGTTTTGAAAGAAAGTATGGCAAAATTAAATAGAAATTTGTTATTTTTGTTAAAGTAAAACTTAACACTTTCCATCTAAATAAAATGGAATTAAAAATGAGTTTTTTTTGCCCCGGCCCGTTTGGCTCAGCAGTTAGAGCATTGGCCCATGGACCAAGGGATCACAGATTTGATTCCTAGTCAGTGGCATGTACCTGGGTTGCAGGTTCAATCTCTGGCTCCAGTCAGGGTCATGCAGGAGGCAACTAATTGATGTCTCTCGTACATTCATGTTTCTCTCTCTCCCCCTCACCCTCCTTTCCACTCTATTAAAAAAAAAATTGAGTTTCTTTTGAAAAAAGTTTAAAATTCGATAGGTGTTTTAATTTGCGTCTTTAATTTATCTTCTACACCCTTTGGATATGTCTATTTTGCTGTGTGTATTTTGTGTAAAATATTTATTTTAGAACATAAGCATTTTATTTGGTGCCATCTTAACAGCCAAAACACTTCTTCCAGTGCAAATGTTTATCTTGGCAGCAGATGTTTCTAAAAGGAGACAAACATTACAATTGTTTGGCTAAAATAAATGTTTTTTGGGGGGTTATTAAGGCAGCCAAGCAGGTTCTAGGATTCCCACCAGTGTTACTTTTATAATTAACATTGTTTTGATATAGTTTGAACAATGTCTCTGAAAAGTAAGGATGAATGGGGAGGGGAGGTCTGGTTAAAGACTTAAAAACTCTACATTCTTTTGACACGAAATGTTTGTTTAGACTCCGTCTCTGAATCCCAAATGCGAATCTAATAGTGAGGGCCTAATTTTCGTTTTCTCTTAAAAGAGCTTCGACTTCCTATTTTTAAGGAGCACGATTGGGTGTGATAGGATGAGAAAGGCAGGCTTGACGACGTAGCGGAGAGGAATGTGTGTCTAGTGTCTGCTTTACATTTAGACTTAATTTTTTGGTAGTTTATATTCACTTAAAGATGCTCGTCTGTACCTGCGTGTGCACACACTCACACACAGAATTTAAAACATTT